CTGCAGGTGTTGGCTAGCGAAGGACGGACTGATCGGAACGCCCAAGTACGTATGCAAAGAAGGTACAGTAGCAGGACAGTGGAAAGCTACGTACCAAAGAGGTTGTGAAAGAAGTTGGTGAATGAGCAGCAGCTCAGTTGCAGCTCATTCCTTTTGAAAAGACTGCTCTGTATTTGACAGAGTGAATTTGAAGTCTAGGAATAGATAGTTATTAATCAATACTAAGAAGATGATTTTCCGACCCAAGGTCGTTGTACTACCCGTTACCAATCAAGTAATCCAGCATGTTGAAGCTTCGGCTGCTGCCAAAGGTGTTACTTCCATGAAGTTCTTCGATAGGAAGAGAGATTTGGAGACATTTCAAAATGGCGATCAAATCGCAGGAGTGGATGACACGGAACAAGGTTACTTAGTAGAAGAAGCCTTTGATCAGGACTATGAACCTGAAGATGAAGATGAACGTGATTTCAACCTACATGGACAATTCGATGATATCAATGACTCCAAAAGAGAAGCGCTCTTGGCAGATGCAGACAATGATGTCGATGATATGCCAGAACTCACTGTCAGATTCCAAGGGGATGATGACTATGAATCAGATGACGATTCAGGTGATCAAGGCGACGGAGAGGAAGAACCTATTGGTGTGGTCGATTGGGATCACCATCAAGAAAATGTCGATAGAGGAACCGGTGATATTGGGAGGCTGGTTACTGATCTGGGGGACCTACAAGAGCCACCAGAAGAAGAGATTGTATTTGAGCCTGAAACGCCTCAAGTAGCCAAAGTCACTCAATCTGGGCAAACGTATGCGCAAGCTGCAGTGTCTGGGCTGAACCTTTCCCAAGTTCCAAAGAAACCAAGAGAATGGCCTTCGAGCAGGAGTGGCAGTTCTGCCAATAAGAACAAGAATCAAGTTGCGACAAGACGCAAGCATCAAGAAAGAGAATTGAAACCGTTGAAGAACAAGTTAAAATCTGGTACTTGTACCAAAGAAGGAAGTCGCAGTACTAAAGACAGTGAAGCTATCCTTGAAGCACAGCACAATCTATGTTTCCAACAGATTGGGAACGAGATGAAAGCTGATTATGCAGAGCACAATGCTATTCTGATTGCTTGTTGCATGATGAAGATGGCCAAGTTTGATACTGAAGAAGGTCTGAACTTCATCCAACAGTACTACATCAATCAAGGACTGAAGAAGTTTGGTGATAATGGAAAGAATGCTGTGGATAAGGAATTGAGACAAATGCTTCTGAGAGATTGTTTCACTCCGGAATTTGTTAAAGACATGACCGCGTCTGAGCGAAAGAAGGCCCGATCAGCGATGATGTTACTAGCAGAGAAGCAATTTGAAAATACAATTAAAGGTTGCCTAGTATACCAAGGCGATGGAACTCGTGAATGGTTTTTGCAAGAGGACACTGCAAGTCCAACTGCTTTGCAAGAAGCAATCACCACTACTTGTGTTATTGATGCACACAAAGGTAGAGATATAATGACAATGGACGTGCCTAACGCTTTCATTCAAACTTATATGCCTGAAGCTAAGGAAGGAGAAGATTGTATCTACATGAAAATCACTGGCATGATGGTCCAGATATTGATTGACATGGCCCCAGAGTATCGCAAATACGTTGTATTAGAGAACGGAAAGCGAGTAATCGATGTGCGATCGCTATATGTTCCGAGTAAAAATTACTCGTTCCGAATAAAAATTGCTTGTTCCGAATAAAAATTACTCGCTTTGCAATGTGAGTTATTTCTTGTTTTGGTGGCTTCTCATGGTTTTGGTGGCTTCTCATGTTTCTGGAAGTCCCACAAAAATATCCCCCGGACTATTCAGTCCAACCCCCCATGATCTTCATCCGCAATGTTTTATCGCCAATCAACCAAGTCTTGGCTTGAGACGTACAAGGTAGATTGCTCGAAAAATGCAGCAAGACGGGGTCATTTTCAGATATTTGTGATATCCGGACGGACGGGGCTACTTCTGTGAGCGGGATCTCTAGTCGATTCCCGCTTGGAATGCTTGTCCAGCCGTTAAGTTCTCGCTATGCTATTTGCCAAAATAGACCTTGCAAAAACACGCCCGCCAGTATACCCAGCGATCGTCAACGGATGAATGATCGCCAGTGTGAAACATTTGTTGCCATATTAGCTTCCGGTGGAGAAATAGAATTATTTTTTCTCCACAGTGGAGAAATAGATTTTTTTTCTCCACGGTGGAGAAAACAGCTGTTGGTGAAATGGGATCTTATTAGATAAAAAGAACAGTCGAACATGTCGGACAGTGAAGTCCGACATTTGTGATATCAAACACGGACAAGAGTATGGTTTGAGTATGTACAGAGATGTATGTACAGAGATGGATAAGTATTGAAGGTAGATCTACTTTGTGACTAGTTTGTGAAGAACATGTGCGTATGTGCTTTATGCGCCGCGACAGCTGGTGAGAGCTGACACAGATGGCTTCCGGAAGTGATTTTTTGTACCTGCTTGTGGAGATCATTGTTGATCAACTTCTGGCAAGAATAGCAGTAGAATAAGATCTAATAGGAAGTGGTGAGACTGTTCATCCGCAGGTTGAAGCCCAGCATCACTGGCACCTGTTCCTATTGTAGGCAATCCATAGCCGACGTAGATTCGAGCTCAGTGTACTCCAGAGGTAGCTAGAGCGTTGAGGCTCTCATTACAGCTACGGAATTGATTATCTGACAACAGCTTCCGGTGGAGAAAACAGCTTCCGGTGGAGAAACGACACCCCCAAGTCTTCCCCAGACGTAATCTATCTCTTGGTAGTCAACAATCATAATGAGAATTGACGTTTTGGAAAAAGTCCTCTTCCACCTTGGGCTCGCATACTGCCTTCATACTCCATCACGAATCAGTAGCACATTCAAGGTAACTATTAGTTGATTGTTGTAGCTTCCATCGCTAAACAGTTTTGTTTGGGGCTGTGCGAAAGTTGTCGGGGCGCCCTGCTGCTCCTACAGTATAGCACCAAAGTCTTGTATCTGATCGCGAGCAGGCTTGTTGGTCCCCCAATGTTTTCTATCCCCTGATGAACCTTTTGGCTCCAACTTCCAAATGGAGAAATAGAAACTTTATTTCTCCATGATGGAGAAATAGAATTGCGCATTCGTGGATTCTAGATTCCACATCACCGGGCGACGAGGATACAGTGCCTGCGTAGCCGCTTTGAATCGTATCCAAATTTGGGTCGAGCTTTTTACATTTCATGCAGGTGACATGACTGTTATTTTTATAACAATTTGTTTAGCCATGCAACCCGCTTGATCCGAGAAGCGATGACACCCCGTCTGTCCCCTTGCCCCTATTTATGAAAATTACCCCATCTTGCAGGGATCGTTTTTCCGACGATTTTCAGTCAGAAGACCAGTCATTGTCACGTAGAACACGTAGAATTAGTACCAATCCCAAATTCTGGCGCATCATGCAGCCAACAAAGAACTGATTTTGATGTATCGCTTCATCAACAGTGGTCTTCATCAATGAAGCTGAGTCAAATCAACACCCAACGTACATTGACGATAAAGCCTTGTTAATTGCGTGACATTATAGTACCACTCTCATAGGCATTGTCACTACAGAACAAGATGATGACGACCAGACCACCACCACCTCCACCACCACATCAATAATGGCAGGCAGCAACACAAACACCAGCAGCACATACTCCAATTGCACTAGCGCAAACAACAATCGCACTGGCTGAAGAAGAGGGGGAGAATAAAACCAAGCCCATGCAATGGCAAAACGAGAAAAGATGAGGCAAACCAGAGATGAAGCTGATCATGAGGTTGATAATGTGCTTGTGCGTGCTGCAAGACGTCATTGTGCAGCCGCGAGA